GTTATCCCAAATGGGAAAATAAAGATACAACAGATATCGCAATGTAAAGTGATATTTACAAACGCATTCTTTCACAGTTGTCTAGTAGAAATTTACTTAAGTATTTCCATTCGATGAAATAAAAGGAGGCAATGATGTTGTTAAATATTTTAATCCTAAACATTATCATTAATATAAATCTTAACAGCTGAATTGCTAAAGGTGTATTATGTAAGCGCTAAATATGGCTTCAAATGTTATATAAATTGTTATTGAGACATCTATTCACATGACAAGTCCATAATTAAATCTCTAGACCATAGGGTGGCCGACATATTGAATGGATTACAAAACGCGCGCCATAGTCGAAACTATGTTTATTATCGTACCAATGGTACTTGACAATCAAGACTATTTTGTCAAAACTTCAAACTTAGAAGAAAGTAATTTGACTGATTCTTTTCAATATACTCATTTTTCAAAATCTATTTTTGAACTAAGTATAGCAAGAACGACTAATTCTCTGTATCTAAATCTTTCATAATGATTGAAGGTTGTGTATTTATTGCAATTAATAAAAACTTTATTGTTTATTTTCCCCATGATTCTTTGAATAAATACACATCATCAATAACAGGAATATTGTGTATTTGATTTGCCCCGAAACACAAATACTGACGTGGAATACCGGGAGGTTAATTCAATAATTATTTTAAAACATCAAAGATAATCATTTGTGTGGATGTGCGGTGAGGGAGCATTACGTCGCCCACTGTCATTCTGATAACGAATTGTTGACAATGACTTAGGCAACAATTGTACCCAGTATAATTCTGTATATCGACAACTAAATGCATTGAAATATACACATGGGATACGCCAATGATTCTTTTACGTGCAAGCTAACAAGATACACAAGTTAACTTTTTGAGGTATACAAGTTAACAATTTGAGATACACAAGTTTGAATTTTCCGATACACAAGGTAACATTTTAAGATACACAAGTTAACATTTCGAGATACACAAGTTAACACTTTGAGATACACAAGTTAACAATTTGAGATACATAAGTTTATATTTTGATCAAGATATGTAACATTTACATATAAAAGAGATAAATTTTGATATAGAATTTGAATCGGTATTTTGTTTTAAATAAAGTTTGTGATAATAGATAGTTAGATCAATGAGCTGTCAAATCAGGACCGTTTCCACAAAGCTTATATTTTACATTTCAACGAAAAATGCGAAACACGCATGATACAAATTAGCTTAATATACAGTCACTTCGAAACCTTAGAATGTGAAATATGATGAAGGATTTGTAGAAATAAAAAACACTAATCGACAATGCAGGAACACGACACAACAAAACAGACATTCATTTCAGAATAACAAAACATTAGTGCTCAAAGTGCTAGCACCATATTCAAGTGTTAAACAAAGGAAGTACAAAGGTGTTAGATTTAGCGAACCTAACTCAATGGTGTAATGACAATCATAAAATATGTCAAGCTTTCTGAAAAGAATGATCTAACATTGCCTCATGCATGATAACTTTCATAAATTACAACTACGAGACCTTGATCAGATTCTATAGAATCAGCAATGAACCAACATACGTAAAAATAGATGCATAATGAGAAAGCGCCCCAGGCTGAAAATATCAATTTAGCTGAATACATTTTGCTATATTTTTGTAAGTGGGGTGGGGACTGGCCTACAATAGGTCTGTTTTGGCAATCCAGTGTGCAGTAGGATGTCACCCTACCGCCACAATAACCAATCCAGCGCATATTTTTCAAACGATGCTTGACAATTTGCCTTTTCCGCAAACTCGATACCTTCCATCACTTCTCATTTTAAGAGTTCCACAAACCAACTGTCTTCATATCCCTGTAATGAGTGTCTTAATAAACTGAACTGTGCAACATTGTGTTTTTGTGGATTTCAATATTATAAAGATATGCGTATAGTTGACTTATGCGATTACAAAAATCCAAACCAATGTCTAAAGGGATTTTGTAAACTTTATCTGTTTTTATACAGCTCAATGCAGATATTAATTATATTGTCATTTAAGCATCTTGGGAATTCAATACTCGTGTTAAATTCTAATGTAGGAATGTCAAAAAGATATTTCATTTAGTTCGTGTCATTTGAAATTTGAATTGCCAATTCGTAAATATAATTTTGTTGGTCGATGTGTCGATTGGATCGAATCAGTTTTACAAAATGTAATATGGCCTAATAAAGTGTCACGCTGATGTATACGAATAATACATAAAAAAAATTGTTGATAGATATAGCCAGACTTCTTTGGTACAAGAGATGAGAATGGTACCCAGGGACTTCATTAACGTGGATATCACAAGGTATTAAGTCATAATTACTAGTTATACGCATTTCCGATGGACTAGATTACAAGCATATGGTTGTAACCATAATTGCTCTGAGAGTAAGGCGCTTGTTCACTAACCAAGACGTCCAAGGTTCGATCCCTTGTCAGTGATGCAAATGGCAAGCCTGACAAAGAAAGTACATAGTCGTTCGGGTGGTACGCAAAACCGACGTTATGGGTCTTTCATTGGCAACACTTAAAGATCCCCTGCGAGTTGGAAATCGAAATAAAAATAGGCCTTAGTGTCACTGTCAGGGAAAAATTCTCTAATAGTACACTTCATGGCGTATTTCTGTCTACATCAGTCCTGTTGCTGTAGGACAGTAAGGCAGTAAGCCCCATTTCATTTCAAACATGCATAGTATATTGGATAGAAATTAATAGTGATCTTTGAAATAAACTTTCATATGCGATCAGCACTGGTCGACTACACCAAAACACCAAGTTGTTAGAAAAACAACGCTCCCGGTACGTTTTACACTTAATTATGAAGATACACATGCTTATGTCCCGAGGTAGATATTTCTGACGAGAGCATCCGTGCTTGCCCGAGTAAAATAACATTGATCTCGGAACACAAATAGAATCGATTTTTAAATTATTTTTATAACTTATAAGAAACACGTCTAAATCCCACGGTTACATTTTGAAGCACTAGGACTGTGAATTATCACTCTTTTATGCATAGCTACATATCGACGTCTTTTATAGCTTAACTTACACCTTATACATAACAACAAATCTAATTCTCTATTCTCTTTATTCTTCTTGTCTCACGCCTAACTGTATGAATATTATTTTTATTGATCTGAGTGTCACACGAGAATACTCCTATTAATAAATGGTCGGTAAATAAAAGTATAGTTCGTTCATTCGCTTTCAATGTTTTTTTTTCGCAGCAAGAGTTTATTGTCTATAATATGTTAACTTTTAACTCTAATCTTGATTTAAAGTCAATTTGAGTAATAATCTGATTGAGAGAGAATCGTCTGATAGAAGGTATATTAATCAAAAGACAATAATTATTACATTTAATTGGAAAAAGGTGCTAATTAGATTAGGGCCATTAGGGAAGTTGCCAAGAAATGGGAGTTTCTGTATATTCGTCTTCGAATTCCTGTTGTCAATTGATCTTACGCACTCGTGTAGACCTCTGTTTTCATCCCATCCAATCGACTATTCACAGGATCTTTGTCACCTCAACAGTCACCGTCTCTGGCATTTGGAAACCGGTCTTGATAAATATCGTAAGTTCATCTGGGCATGCGGGATTTGAACCCCGGGCAGTCTAGTCGAGAGTCCAATGCCCTAACAGTCGACTATTGGGCCCGCGTCTCCTCAATAAATATTCCTCATACGCTCGACTATTCCTTTTGAATCCTGTTCTATTTTAGATAATTAAATGTACTGCACTATTAACAGTAAATATGTTCAATTCATATATATGGGCCTCTCTTGACATAGGATTTATCTCATTTTACTTCAGTTACTGTGAACTTTGTAATCCTTTTCATTCTCTACTTTTATTTCCCAGGCCAGAAGAAATTATTTTCAGCACAAAATAAGTACTTGATTGAACTGTGGGTAGTTCATTAACCAGGGGGTCTCGAGATCAATCTCGACAATGGCCTAGAAAGTCACCCGGGATTTTACAGCTTGGTTTTACTCTGTTACTGAAGTGTCTAGTCGTTCGGATGGAACGAAATATGGACGTTGCGTGTACACACATTTCGGGGAAAATTTCCCAAATAGCATGGTGTCTGCCCGTCATCAATAACCCTATTGGTGCTGAAAAGTAGGACGTAAAGCCCCATTTTATTTCATTTCAGTTTGAAGTACCAAGACTAATTAATATAACCTTGGTGAAACACAGGTCTAAGCAATTATGTGATGTTACTTACAATTTTAAGGTCTAAGATATTTGCATGGACGCATGAAACCTTACTTATAGTTAATGCATATTTATTATCTTATTGTGTTGTGTAATCTGTACCATTACGGTAGTAGAAAATCAACAAATATAACGCGTTAAAATACTTATGAAGCAAAACTAAAAACAGACAGCACAATCTATCCAACCGAATAGATTGGCCACCAAATGGTATAAGACATACCCGTAATACTTAATCATATAATACTTGGCGAAATGGGTTCTGTGTCGTATAAGACGTGGTACAACACGATCCTTGTCATGGGCCAGCAAGACTTGGTACAGCACGTCGTACAACACGTTCCTTGTCGTATAAAACGTGACGCAACGAGGTCTTTGTCGTACAAAACTTGCTCTTTAAGGATTGGACGTAGCTAAGTAACAAACAATAATTGTAGTCCATAGAACATTGTCGTGATACATCAAGTCGTGGTCGTAGCCTTTAAGTCGTGAATCATAACATTTGGCGGAAGTCGATGCGCAACAGCGTTGGAGTACATTTTGTATCGTAAACAATGAATTGAAGCGGAAATTTACCAATCCCAATGAAACAAGTAATAGTAAGAAAACTAACACAAATATGTAGGAAAATTTGGGGAAATATGCCGTTCTGTGATTATAAATCCAAACGAAACAAGGAATATTAAGAAAACTAACAGAATTAACATGTAGATAATTTGATTCTTACCTTTGAAAGCTAAAGTACACAAGATGAGATCCAACAGTCCGAATATAAACGGAAAGTCCAGCCAGCGGTTCATTTTAATGTTCAATAATTCTTCTCCATCTGCTAATATTAATCCACAGAATCAAAGTTATTTTTCCTTGCAACGTTGTCTTGATATCCAGAAAAAAACCCTTGGAATGTTGTTTTGTGTTTAAATATCCTACTAAAATGTCTTCTACCAATATCGTTTCAATTACAGAATATTAAATCTGTACCTACGATATAATATTAATAACTATGACCAATATGCGTCTTGTATAACCTAGTCATATTAATGGTTGATAATATTACGATATATATAATCATAGGTAATTAAATATCACGTATATATAGTAATATTCCAGGTGTGAATTGCCATAAATATATAAATACGAGGAAATACAGATGTAGATTCTTGGTAACCGGGAACTGATGGACGTAGTAATTGAACACCAATGATCAATCTGATTGACTCCAGTTTTACTAATCCTTTATCTTTTTATATCCCATCCTAAATCTTCAACTTATCACTATCCGTATTATCATGCATAATATAATGTAGAAGATCGATTCCGCTTTCTTTTATTCGGTAAACACAGTAAACAATTCGTTCGAACTTACTATGGATTCGGTTTGAAGAACACAAAATTATATATTGACCGTCTCCACTCGAAATAACATATGTTTAGTTCAATAAAATTCATCCAGTGCATCGTTAATGAATCATATAGAAAACAGTTCCGTTGTGTTTTCGCTGGTGGCCACTGCCTGATATTTCAATGTCTAGTTCTTGCGTTCATCCACTACTACTTCTTAAAAATAATATATTTTAAATATTTTACAAAGTCACGCTTTCCTGCGGCTGCTCTTCGATTTTAAAGAAGCCTGTTTTGAATATGGTATTCATAATGCAATCATACAACTCAATACACGAGATAAATTGCGAACATCTCGTCGGGGGAATAGCTTAATGCATCAATTGTTTTAGAGACAAAAGAACCATATATGTTCAAGTAGACAGCTGATGTGTTCCCTGAATTCATTCACAGTGTCACTTCGATAATTCAGTCCTACATTTCAAGAGAAATTAAAATTCCATTCGTTTTTGAAATTTTGGACTAGGTGTTTTATTTACCTGAAATATATTAAAACGCGATCAGGTCAATGAAACTATTACGAGTCGAGTAGCTTCAACCATTTAATAGCTAGACAGATACTCCAGCAACCATTACATTCACGGAATCGTAACTTGTTAATAACTTCTAAATTGTTCTATTTGTTGATATCTCAAAATCCCGACTGTCAATGGCACGACAGAAGCAAGCAAGCGTCAAATGTTGAAGACCGAATCACTTGTAGTAGTCGTTTTATCGATATATTGCTTGGTTGTGGATATATCACGCAAGTTAATTCACTAACTGTATAATGCTTAGAAGTCTCACTGGTTATAGAGAGAGTTGCTGTATCGCTCCACCAGTTATCGTCTCAGTTATCGTCTTCGATCAGAAATTTACATCCATAAGCTGAACGGTTTCTCAACTCAATGAGTGTGTCAGGTACCAATAGGATACTGAAATGATAAATATGAGAGGTGTTAGAACTAAGATGACTCAGTTAGCCTAATCAATAAATATACATATGTCAGTAGAGTTTTCAAACAATTCAGTTTTACGGCAGACGTTTGTGACATCTATATGATTCAATCAAAGAATGATTGAAAATAAGTAAGATTGGTCCTGATCAGTTTAAATAATAGAAAACCCTATAGACAACAGCAAAGATTATCCTACTAATAAACGGTGCTATAAGGTTGGCAATCTGGAAGAGTCAAACCCATTCATTATTGTCCCATAAGAATTCTCCCTGGAAAGTTTAACCAAAGCATGATAACTGAAAAGTATCGTGCAACTTTGTTGTTTTACTGAAATGGAATTCTAGCCTAAAATCTACGTCTCCCATTTTAATCAAAACCTTGTTTTCTTTCCTGTAACACCATAGAATTGTTGCATATTAGATATTGGATAACTGAATAACTGAAAGCGTAGTGGGCACTTAAGGCGAGCACCTTCACGCGACTTGATAAATCAGTAATATACGCGTGTTTGGCTGACAAGTTTCCCAGTCTTTTGTTGGTTTAGTGTTAGCGTAAGCTACAGCCATGCAGTTCCTAGTACATTCCGGATTTAGACAATAGGTAGTTATATCTTTTTATTTACCTGTATTTAAAAGATAATTTTCGAATCTAGACTATAGGTAGTTATCTCTTTTTATTTTCCTCGATTTAAAAGATAATTCTGGTCCTGGCAGTTTACTTATTATCTAGTATTACAAATGTGTCAATCATGCGATTTATGAGGATAACTGTCAACAAATCTAAATAAACAAAGCACGCGCTATATTAGTATTCGATTCGGTGCTTTTTTTCGGCGTATTCCATAAAGTCACATGTTTACATTGTACAAGAGTGGTTATCACAACACGAATACATGGTTTTTATTATAAACATAACAGGTAGTTACCATGATGACGTCATATTGGTGTCCTAATTTGTTAATGGGACCTAGGTAATGAATAACACATAAATAATCTGCAGTGGTTGGAACCGCGCTACATGTATAATAAACAATAGTATCACAATAGTTTAAATCAAAAATATTTATAATTTCCCAAAAAGCATTTTATCCCATGCATTCGTGTGATCATTGATCGGTTGTCAACGGCGGCCAATTGTTGTTCACCACCATTTTAAGCTGTGATAAATCAAATACAATGTGTAACTCAACTGCCGTCAATTTAATCGTCACTAATAATATGTTGTCACTTTCATTACCGCTGGACTATAAACCATGACTGGCGATTTATACCCCATTTATTTCCATTGGTTATCATGTCACGTGTATGATGTGCCTTAAAGCCCCCGTCAGACCAAAGCACGATGGGGTTCAGATCTAAAAAGTCTGGCGATCCGACGAAGTAGACCTTAATACGACCAATCACGATGCAGCACGTTTTAAGCAGATTTCAAGCTCAGAATACTACTTTCAATCCACATTTTTCTGTAAAAGCCCCCATCACACCAAAGCACGACCTAACGCGGGTCATATTGTTTTGAGTCGCGCTTTAAAGCTAGATAAGATCTTCGTGGATCGCGAAAGTCGCAGTCCGGTCTTGGTGAATAGAGACCAAGGCTTGTTGAACATGCATCAACTCGACCTCTTACCGACCAGTGATGGTGACAGTCCAGGTCGAGTTTGGGTCGCGTTGGGAGCCTGGGAGAGCCAGATCTGTTTCGAGTCTGACGAGAAGCGTGTAACGTTAAAGATCTCGAAATGACCTAATTTTTATCGAGTAGACATTAAACAGTAGACAGTAGACATTTGGTCGTCTGTGTATTTACACTGACACTTCAGTAAAGCCACCACTTTTATCAGCTATTACACCACAATAACCAACTTTTATGAACTATTACAACACTATTACTCTACTTTTATCATCCATTACACTACTTTTATCAGCTATTATTCTACTTTTATCAGCTATTACATCACTATTACATAACTTTTATGAACTATTACATCACGATTACTCTACTTTTATCAGCTATTACACCATTATAACACTACTTTTATCAGCTATTACACTACTTCTATCAGCTATTGTACCACTATTACACTTCTTGTATTAACTATTACACCCCTCTTACACAACATTTATCAGCTTTTACCCCACTAATATACTACGTTTATTAACTATTACACCACTGTACACAACCATTACAAATTACACCACTTTATTAACTATATACACCACATTTATTAACTGTTACACCACTATTATCAACAGTTGTTACCCAGTAATTAAAGAATAAATATTTAATAAGTAATCGGCATACTAATTATTATTAATCTCTGCAATTTTACACAGTTGAAAAGAGATCGATAAGAAATCCGAAGATAAAACAAAGGTGCCCAGTTGAGAATTGACATAAACTCATGAGCATTTATTGATATTAAGGAAATGATGTAGATACAGGAGATGATCATCCCTACACTTCTAGAAAGATAAAATTATCTTCTACAGTGTAAATATATATTCTCTGATATACGCAAATTCTACCACTGACCATGGCTTGTGTCGTGACATTGTCTGACTTTGTACCAAGGGAATAACTGTTCATTGACGATGTAGGTCTGTAGTGTTAGATTGAACTCCAAAGGGGTATCTGGATATCGCAGTATACATTGCCTAACGATTACGGCAACTAGGTATTCGACAATTAATTTTATCCAACATACCCCTCAAGACCCAAAGTAAATTATATTTTGTTTCTCATCAAAAAACACAGCACCCAATAACATAATTTCATCCAAGGAATGAAATATAGAAAGTACAGGGCTTGCATACGATTCTATTACATTTTGCAATATCAAATTTGATCTTATATAAGATCTTATATGTCCCGATGATTTCTCGGTGGGTTTAAAATATTGTAACATCTTCGAAGTATGTTATAATGTTGACAGTTAATAATCCGTATTATACTTCAATATTTTGACACCACACTGATTTCCTGGCTGGGACCAATATAGAGAAGCGAGTCAAAATAAAAAGATAAGTTGCAACTCTCAGTGATGGCTTTGGTATTTAGCTCAGGCTGATCTATAAAATCTATATAATCGCAGAATAAAGAATAGATACCTATTATGTCAAACTGAACTGTTTGTGTAAATATTCTAATTCGTTTTACACATACGAAATTTTCAATATATTTTATTCTTGTATTCTCTTTATTACAAAGAACAGTATGATGCCGAAAAATCAAATGGTTTATCTTTAGAAGAATTCCGGAGTTTTAAAGAACCCACATCCGATAGATGCCACAGTGATAATAAATAGTGTCACGATATTGACGAACAACTTTTTCACCTGTATTATATCAATAAGTATTATGTTACAATTATTTGTAATACAACGTAATATACATATATTTGGATGATATTAACTTATATCAATAATTTCAAACGACAACTGTGTATATGTATGTGATATTTAAGTAGCAATGTTATTAAATTGATCTCAATAAACTATGCCTTTTTTTATGTACATACGTACTATAAAACGCAGGTGACGAAAATAATATGACACACTATCTAGTAATTGCCTAGCTGATGAAATGTTACTTGACATCTAATGTGCTGCACCGTGAAATATATCTGAAAAGTAAACTTAATTCCGTCAATCTGAGATTTATTTCAATTTAACATCAGGTAAATTTAATTTATGAATGAACAAGGAAAAAGCGAATGAATGATTATGAATCCTAAATACAATTATATTATTGTGAAACGGTTCTGGAAATCTGAAAGCCAAACGTTCGATTTAAAACATTGGTTCTTTTCGAGGTATTTTCCAAAGATATAATGTTTTAAGGATGGCGAGAAGCATTTTTGCTTTTAAATGGCAGCAGTTACCTTTAGTTTTATTCTGTCCATGTGAAACCTAACTAAAGATGTTATGGCTAGACCAACCATAATATTTATCAATTAACATGTAAAATGATTGACCACTTGTCTGATTCGTAACGTAACTTTATTAGCGTGTGATCACATGAGTTTTCATGAATGATCAAAGGTAACATACATGTGTACTGAAAACTGATGTAACACCACAGTCCTACCGCATCTTCAATACAAATCGCATCGTTTACCTATGTGTATTGACGTAAATAATAAATAAAAGAGCCCTTTTATATCGATAATGAGACCGGGCCACAATTAGCAAATGGATGTCGCTTTGAATCACCATTAGCTCTTAACATAAACGGAATTGAGTGAGGTTTATGTACCACCTGGCTAATGAAGGCTGACATAAGGCATGGTGTGTGCAATGGGGGAAATGTTGCCCGTGCACCGGCGTCTCCGCCAATGTGTACACGGGGCCGTGGGTTTTCTTTCTATCTGAAAGACTACGCAATATTCCTTGTCATGCCATCCGTGCTGCAGAGGATACCAGGCTAGAAAACCAAGCTCGCATCATAATTTGGATAACTTGATGCCGTTTTTGAAAACTCATCTTTTAAAAGAGGTTAATTAGTGAACTATTTTGTTAAAAATGTCATTTAAATGCAAACTTACAATTACAAGGAAAGTGTGTTGGCAATAACATAGAACATTAAGTACTTTCTGACTTGTATGATTAAAAAAAAAATTCAGAACATTTCATTTCGACATGCAGCTATGTATGTTTTGCTCAAATACTATAATTTGAAGATATTTACCGATATCTAGTGGTCTTCGGCGCTGTCTGTCATCACGAATGGTATTGAACATTTTAGTACCGTAATAACTGAATACTTCTTAAGAATCCAGGTTCTAATTTTAACTGTTATGTATGTCTACATATCTACTTACATGCATACTCATCTGTTCTGGTCTCAGACAATCGACAATTGTCTAGGCAATTAACGACCTCTTAGATTCCAGGTGCTCTCTTGGGAAATGGCTCCTGATGAGAAACGAGATTGACCATCATTTGACCGGGATTAGTCAAGATTAAGCTAAAATTGGAAAC